GAGAAGCCCGACAAAAGCCTTTGGAGTCTAAACAAGAACTTGCTGGTTTCGTCCTGGATCCTCGAAATTCACGCGAAGCACTGGCCACGAGTAGTGTTCTAGTTCCAGCAGGTATCTCCGAAAGTTGCCCCAAACCCAGAGGAAATGGGTGGTTCATCAGAATGATGGGTGAAGACAATCAATTGTACAAGGCGGCAGGGTGCAAGGGGGGCCACCTCCCCCCCGCAAGTGGAACAAATGGATGTGTTTTTTGGCTTTTCTGAGGTACCCGAAACCAGCCTGGTTTTCAGGTTGAAACCAAAACGTCACAAGTTTTAGGGTCCCGCTCAGTCTTGACCTGGGCCCAACCTCAGTTTGTTCTCAGTGTCGCCTCTGGGTGGGGCTCGCACTCTATGTTCCACTCATGGCACCAGCTGGGCAACGGCCAGGCGACCAAAAGTTGACCCTTCCCAGGGTTCGCCTTTTGATGCGATTTCCCTTGAAGAAGTTGGCCCCGTCCAACAGGGTCCCCTACATTTCCGCTTGCAAAACATCATCCCTACCAAGGAAGCTCGCAGGGCTTAAATCCACAACAAGGAAATATGGTGACCGTGTTCAACCCGAGTTTCTTGCAGGGAATCAGTCCAGGCAAACCCTTCCAGCCGAAGTTCTGTCGGACCCTTGGCCCAAACATGGGGTAGACCAGGATTAATAAATTCAGATCCCGCTTCATATATCTACCTTAAAGTATTGAGTGGAATGAACATGGCTGTGGCTCAACAAAAAGGTACCAAAATGGCACCTTGGTAAATGGAACCAAAGACGAACACCCATAACCGTAGCTCTTGAATTTTGAGCCACACTAATATAAATTCTGGGCCTGCGAAGCGGACATTTCGTCCAACCGCAAAGCTGAGTGCGGGGCTGCCACTGCCTTTGCCTAGGTTGGGAAAAAGGGCCGAACACCAACAATCGGCGACCGATTCGGACACAGAGAACCTTGGCCGAAAAAAGCGGCACACAGAAAAATCAGAACTTCAATTCATTTCTCATATTGGGTGCGTCCTATTTTCGGGGATCCCCAACAAGGCGTTGTTTCTCTCTTGGTGTCGCTTGAAAACCAAACAACAAGGGGTTCCTGAAAAGAACACACACGCATCTACTTCTACCCTATTTTGGAGGAGACCCCAGGAACTGTTATGACTGGGCGGGAAAGAAAAGTAAACCAATCTTCAAGGGATCAAGCTTCTCGGCAGAAGCGTGGCATTTGAAGCAGCCTGGTCAAGATTGTTGAGGTCGTTGCCCACAATTCTTGTGATGGTTGTTGAATGGCCACGAGTACTTCTTCGGAGGCCATTTTTAGTGAGGAATTAACATGATACCCTAGTGAAGCTAAGTTCTTTGGAGCAGGAGGCTCAATCTGAGGGCCAGGCCGACTGCAAAAGCTCCTGGGTCTTCCGCACATTCTCCTCAGCCTATGCAAGGAATAACAAAGAATCCTGTGCCAGGGGTGCAGCAAGGTTCTTTAAGACGACCTTCTCAGGGTACCTGTTTTAAGGACAAATTGTTTTTGGGTTCCTGATGGTTCTTTCTTGACACTGCCTTCTTGGACATGCTTTTGGATCCCCTCGCAGTATCGTTGTTTCTCTCTTGGAGACATGAACCCCAAGCCTGTCTGTCCCCAGCAAAAACGGCTTAGGCAACAGTTGACCGCGGCGCGGCTTCCTCCACTACCGTACCCTGCAAATGAACCGAAAGGATCGAGGTCCTCACTGTTCAATGCATTTCTGCAAACGGGTGCTTCTCAACATGCTGCCCCCTCCCTTTTGTTTGGTATTTCACGGTCTCCCATCAAACCCGCCCAAGGGGCAAATCCCTATGTTCAGAACCCATCAAATTGGCCGACCAAACCTTGGGGATTACAGCTGGGCTGCACGCAATTCGGTTCTGCTCTTGCCAATGCTGTCGCTCCGCTTCCGCTTTCTGCGCTTCGGCTTTCGCACGGTCGTACTCGGCTCGGAGCAACTCCTCGCTTCGGGCAATTGGAGTTTGCAGCGGATTCCATGGAGCGGCAAAACCAAATCGGCCACTCGCTTCCTGGCTGATGTTTAAAGGGAAAGGCTGATGTCTCTATGGACTGATTTTCTTGTTTTCCTAAGGAGATTAGGGGCTTAGGCAACGAACCCACTGGAGGTCTTTGGAGCCAAAGCCCAACTGTGGGTCTTTCCAGGCGGGCCTACACACTTGACTCATGTCCAAGCTAACGTCACCCCAACAGGAAACTCACCTTCAAAATGGATTTCCAAAAAGGTGATGTTTCAAACCAAGACGGAGAATCCTGTAAAAGGGAACATATATATATATATATGTATATGTATAATATGTATGTTATTTTTCAGCGTGCCCTTTTTGGGGTGATGTCAAGGCCAACTACAAGAACAACCAGCAGTTTGTGGATCTCCTATTTTGAAATATAATTTTGACAAGCAAGCTGCTTCTATAGTTAATACAATACTCAGTTGATCATGTAACAGTGGCGATTTAATTCATTGTCTGGGTTTGTAGTAATAGCTCATCCCTTCCTACACCCCAAATGGACCGCAAACAACTGGAAGAGCGACAAGGGAAAGAACAGGTGGAATCCACAAAAACACACACACACACAGACACACAGACACACGCAGACACACACAAACACACACACACAAACACACACACACACACACAAACACACACACACACAAACACACACAACCACACACACAAACACACACACACACACAAACACACACACACACACACACACACACACACACACACACACACACACACACACACACACACACACACACACACACACACACACACACACACACACACACACACACACACACACACACACACACACACACACACACACACACACACACACACACACACACACACACACACACACACACACACACACACACACACACTCACACACACACACACACACACACACACACACACACACACACACACACACACACACACACACACACACACACACACACACGCACACACACACACACACGCACACACACACACACGCACACACACACACACACACACACACGCACACACGCACACACGCACACACGCACACACGCACGCACGCACGCACACACGCACGCACGCACGCACGCACGCACGCACGCACGCACGCACGCACGCACGCACGCACGCACGCACGCACGCACGCACGCACGCACGCACGCACGCACGCACGCACGCACGCACGCACGCACGCACGCACGCACGCACGCACGCACGCACGCACGCACGCACGCACGCACGCACGCACGCACGCACGCACGCACGCACGCACGCACGCACGCACGCACGCACGCACGCACGCACGCACGCACGCACGCACGCACGCACGCACGCACGCACGCACGCACGCACGCACGCACGCACGCACGCACGCACGCACGCACGCACGCACGCACGCACGCACGCACGCACGCACGCACGCACGCACGCACGCACGCACGCACGCACGCACGCACGCACGCACGCACGCACGCACGCACGCACACGCGCACGCGCACGCGCACGCGCACGCGCACGCGCACGCGCACGCGCACACGCACACGCACACGCACACGCACACGCACACGCACACGCACACGCACACGCACACCCACACACACACGCACACACACACACACAAACACCAACACACAACACACAACACACAACACACAACACACAACACACAACACACAACACACACACAAGCACACACACACACAAACAAACAAACAAACAAACAAACAAACAAACAAACAAACAAACAAACACAAACACACAAACACACACACACACACACACACACACATCCAAGCTGTTTTGTAGACGTGCACAAGGACAAAGCCCCGAAACATAGTTCGCGGCCTCCTGCTGCTCGACAACCTTCATGAAGTGATTGAAGGCGTCTTGGATTGCTTCTTTGGGCATGCTCCTGAGCAAAAAAACAGGTTGAGCATCCTCACCCTTCGCACTCTTGCTCTTCGCTGCATGGGTTGCTTTGCTTGTACCCAGCAACATGTATAGGGAGTGGCATTCATTGCACCACAAGCAATCAGGAAAACACCCGCTGGTGTGATTTCTGTTCGCCCTGGGCGGACATCAAGTAACTGTTAGATTTGCCCCCCCCGTTTTTTGAAGGGGCGGGGGGGCGCCTCTGAAAAAGTAGCGGCCATACTGTGCATGACAACATCCTGGTGGTTTTATTCCATTGTCACAAGGTTTCATCAATCCCAACTGGTGCAGGATTCCGTCCATCTGTGGAATCCGCTGATGCATTGACGCCAAAACACTCTTGCCGAGTCGCGCTGCTGGCCACATGGCGATTCGTAGGATTTGTCCGCAGCCACAAGCTGAGTCAAGTGTTGACCATAGTTTACCAAATGTGCGTAATGGACCTCTCAAATGAATCTACCAAATGGATCCACAAAAACAACTCAAGCAGGAAACCACATTCTCGTGGATCGACAAATGCCACACCCGTGTCGCTTGCCTCATTGTGCCACTGAATGGATTCGCTTGGACCAGGCAAATATGGCAGATACGCTTCTGCATTTGCAAATCTGTGACGCAAGCTAACACCTAGGCGCCTGCCTTTCTGGATCTGAGAAGGAAAACCTCCTGCTTGGGGAATAGAAAACGGTTGCCTTGAGAGGAACGCTTGTCGAACACCCATCAAGGGCTGACGTTTACCTGGGTTGTTCGAAATGGGGATCCCTCACCATCTGGCATAGGGGGACCCCCTTCCAAGTTTTTTGCTAATTTGTACGGGGTGAGGATTGATTGCAAACAAACCAGTCTATCCTCTATGCAGGGACTTTGCTTTTTCTTGCGGCAGCCGCCTCCTCAGGAGGGGTGCACGCGACGCGTCACTGGGAAACGGCACACGAATCGTGCGATGCCAAATGAGCAGTGCGCGTTTGGTTCTATCAACACGGTTATTGGTTGTCAAACAATCCGCCACGATCATGGCACGCATGCCTTGCGACAAGGACTGATTGACTTGGCTTCACCACTCATCATCACCCTCATTGTCTTTCAGGTAGCGCAGAATAGTTTTCACCACCTTGGTAGGACAGCTCATCACAGCTGCACATACGTATCCAATATGATATTTTAGCAGGCTTGAAGCCGGAATCCACAAATGGGTTCTCCATCGATTTCAACCCATATCCATTTCGGCAACCTTTTCCTAGCCCCCAAAGTTGTTTGCATTTCAAAAGTACGTGCTCAAATGGATCTATTATATGAATCTACCAAATGGATCCACAAAAACATCCTTCTTCGTATCCATTTCGGGTCCGAAGCCGAGGCCGCTGGCGCCATCTCTTTGGTTCAGCTGGGCCAGGTACATGGCGCTGGGACCTGATGGCTCAAGGAAAAGCGTTTCACCCACGTTGAACCAAGGGGCCTCCAAGAACCGGACCTGCATGGCAATTACAGAGGTGAACCTCGAGGACCTCCAGAAAGTTCCAGAAAATGGATCATGGGCAGACATGTTCACAAAAGGTGCGACATGAAAGGTTAACCTTTGCTCAGTTGCCCAAAGGACCTGCAACTAGGTGAACCTTTTGGTTTGGTCTATGGACCCAAATTGGAAAACCGAAAGCTTAAAAGGTCGGCTTTGAACAACTGAGTTTTGGAACCTTGATGATACTATTTGTGGCAGGGAAACCAAAAGGTCAAAAACGTGGATTCGCTTTGCAAGTGAGAAGGCTATGGGTGCGGTTATGTCGCAAGCAAAACGGGGGAGAACCCCAAGTCATTCTCCAAAAGCAGTTTCCTGTCTTTTCGAGTGATCTTAGTGGGTCGCGGACCCTTTGGATAAAATGATGTCCACCAAGCGTGCTTCAGCATGTTCAGCCTTGTGATACCAAGATGTTTTAAACTTCACATAAGGGGTCATTGGGGACCTTCGTGAGACGGCTCCCAGCCTTCGAACAAACTTCTGTTGGCTGGATCTCGAAAAGGAAGCTCACACGAAGCAAAAAGACTTGTTTCAAGAAAGTATCCTAATTCATTGTGCCATAGATGTATATATATATATATGTGTATATATATATATGTAACTCCAGCTTTGGCGGGGTATCCATCCATTCCACCCCCCTTCTCAGCTTCCAAGCAGGTGGTTCCCTTGCCAGGATCCAACTTTGCCTTCATCATCAAGAGCGACTGAACCACCTGGGCGTTCCGTTTTTCAGGAAAGCCCTGTGTTGGGGTAAAGGAAAACCAAGTTCAGAAGGGGAGCCCCGTTAGGTACACTCCCCACAAGTGAGACATAATCAAACCCTGGTACAAACATGGTCCATGCTAAAAATGAGCTCATGTATTAGCATCGGTTAGCATGTGGCTCAAGTGCGCAACACCATGCTCCCAAAGGCCAGCTCCCTCGTGAAACATGCAACATTCAAGTCCCCCACAAAAAAAACTGTCTAGAATCTTCCTGAGAGAGGTTCACAAAAGGGTTCGTAGAACTTTTCTGGGTACGGCCACAATGGCTCTCCCAAAAAGGATGCCCCTCATTTTGAGACATTCATTGATAGCCCGCCCTTTTATCTGCAAGCACCTCCAGGGTTCAGACATCCGAATGGCCATGTTCTGCTGCCAGCAGCAAAGCCTGGGTTCTTGACACATGCATCAAAGTGACATCCCAACAAATACCTTCTAAATGGTGGTTTAAAGGGAAGCCACTGTGACCCAAAGTCAAACCAAACACCCCTCAAAAGGCAAGGGGCCACGTCAAACCTTTCAGAAAACGCAGAGAGCAGTAGCAAGCAAAGAAGCTTAAACCGCATGGGTTGGGCCGAAGTGCCCTCAGAATAAACGCGAACATAGACACAGAGATAGATACATAGATAGATGGATAGATAGATAGGCAAATAGATAGATAGGTAGAGAGAGAGAGATAGACAGATAGATACCTAGCTAGCTAGCTAGACAGATAACAGATAGATAGACAGACAGACAGACAGACAGACAGACAGAGTGAGTGAGTGAGTGAGTGAGTGAGTGAGTGAGTGAGTGAGTGAGTGAGTGAGTGAGTGAGACTAAGTAGGCCCTTGTAAAAGTCTACCCTTTCGAAAGGTCTGACCTTCGAAAAGTCCAACGCAGCAGACTCCGCAGCCAGTCCCGCAACAAGTCCAGCGCAGCACACTCCGCAGCCAGCCCCGCGAAAAGCCCAGCTCAGCACACTTCGCAGCCAGCCCTGCGAAAAGTCCAGCGCAGCACACTCCGCCCCAGTGTAGGAGGAGGAGGAGGAGGAAGTTAGAGGAAGGCAACGCTGAGATAAAATCTAGAGACCCTCACCTGAGAGGTGGGGAAGAAGAGCCTCCCACCTGCTAGGATGCCAAGAATGTCAGGAATTCCACAAATCCAATGACGGAATTGCCAGGCTGCCAAGGCAAGGAGCCTTTTTTTGTGTACATGGAGCACTGGCGCAACCTGATAGCAAGACACCCATTGGGTTGTGAATTTCATAGGGAACACTCCCCACCATTTCGGGTACCACTGGCAACTCGTACCAAGTCTGCGGGTAAACCACCCATAATTTCCGAGCGACCGTCCGGCCCTTGCCGTTGTGGACCTCAACATCCGCCTGGAGATCTGGCACTTTGAGGCTGGGAACAACTGCAATTCCTTGGGCAAATCACCTTTAGGCCGGGATTAGAAGGGATGCCATTTGCGATTTCCCGCCTTGGGAGTGGTGCCTAGGGAAAAACATGGGCAACACATGCCTCCAGTTTTGGTCTGCTTTTGTCTTCCCCAAGCGGGAGTGTGTATGAAAGGGGTTGTGTTTGGGTACACACAAACAGGCCAAGTTGCTTGGCGCACGTGGGCTTGGCTGTTAAAATTTGACCAGTCATTGCAGCAATCAGGTGAGCTTGTTTGAGCATGTCATTGAACCAACATGGCTTTCATAGCCTCAGGTGGGCCTGCGGCACAAATTGTGCACACTCAAGGACTCATCCTGGGTCCACGGTGGTAAAACAGTCTCAACATTCCCTCACAAAATAGTGGTTTATAGAGAAGCAGCGCCCAATAGTAATGTTGAGAGCCCTTCAACACGCAACTGCTTCAAAGGGGCCCGTCTCTTTCAGACAGGAAACCCATATGCAACCGACACGCACCTCCTGCTCAAGGCAGGCTGAAGCAATCTCAATGTAGCCTGCGGATTCAAAAGCTCCAGGGTTGCTGCTGTTTGACCCGACGGCCAGGGTCAAAAGACCCAATTGGCCCAATGGGTGTTTCTTAAAGCTGATTCAAATTCGACAAAGTAGACACAAGGATTGTGTTTAATTTGGCAGTTGGCATCACAGAAACGGTTGTTTCCCATATTATGATTCATGTCACATGCTGAAGGGGTGCCATTCATGTTCTTCTTAAGCAAGGGTTCACTTCTTCGGCATGGGCCCGTATCTGTCTGGCCAAGTGGGTGGACAGCTACACGGGGCTATCTTGTCCCTTTTCGACTGGTCCAACCATGAAGGTCATGCCCATGGCCCACAGATAAGATCCGACTTGGAGAATCAACTCGCCTGGCTGTTCTAAAGGGAATCTCCCTCCTCCTTCCCTTGTGTTACCAAAGGGGTCCCTTTGCACAGATGCATCGCTGAGACAGCACACACTCGCGGCCGTGGATGATGTACATGCAAGAGTTCAATCCCCGTCGTTTGTTTTTGTTCAGCAGGCGGTGTTCGCCACCCCTGCTTCCAAGTGGAAGTTCGGGTGTTCGGGCGGGCGCAGCCATGACCAGGGTTCCAATATTAGGATGTCAAAAGTTGTACCAAACGAACGCCATCCATTCTACGCGAACACCCGAGGCCCGAGGCCCGAGGATGGGCCTCTCTTTCGCGGTTGAGAATCACAGTAACCCCAGACCCTGAAACACTCAAGCTACCATTACCCCGGTCTTGCAGCTTGGCCCAGGTAGTGACCAAAACCCTTTGAGCCGTCGGCTGAGTTCGGTGTTTTCCCAACATCTGGAAATCCAGTGAGCCCCTTGTGGAAAACTAGAGCTCGTCCCCGGTGTCCCGCCAGACAAGAATCACCATCCAGCCGCCCACCTGTGATCGATGCAAGGGTCAGTGCCTCAAGTGCGACAAGGCAAGCACCTCATCAGGTTGCCGCAAATGCCTACGAAGTCTTGGGGCCCTGTTGGTGGACGCTGTCCTCTCGGCTTGACTTACCAAACAAAAAAGAGGCACAACACCTGGGCCCCCGCTGTATCACCCAACTTGTCCCGGACGTTGATGAGGTTGTCATCCGCGTTGGGATCGTTCAACACCTGTGTTTGTCTCCAGCACCTACAGAATGTCCGCTGTGGGATTCAAGCCCCAAACAAAGGAGGGGGGGAGAAGCAAGCTTTCAACAAAAAGATACTCAAAAATATACCCTCGACAAAAAGGACCCACTCACATCCAAGAAGAAGCGCGGGCCATTTGACCCGATGATACACAGCAAGGAAACAGTCACTTTCCAAAAGCAAAAAACAAAACAAGGAAAAGCAACACACCCACATCCATGATATGTGGGAAAAATAAATCACCAACCAAAAATAACCAAGCCTTTCCTTTCGGTGAGCCTCGTCCGTGTGGACACGGTCAGCCGTGTTTAAAGGGGTTGGGGGGGTAAGGCCAAGATCAAAGCTGTCATCCCTTGTACCAGCCTCGGCCAGCTGACAATGCTCGTGCTCGATCAAATCACAACCCCCAAAAAAGGAACTTTCACTTTGGGTGACATTGCAACCTCCCGTTGACGAACCAAGCTATGACTTGCCCGCAAAATCCCGCCTCCCTGAAAAGCTCCACATCGCCGTTGAGGGCAATGTGGTGCAGCACGGTGCCTGGGGGCGTGGAAACTGGTCAAAGGAGTCTATCTAATCCATGGTATGTTTGCTAAACACATCGTCCTTGTCCAAGAATTGCCGGGTAAACGAACGGATGGTCGCAGGGCCGCAGAGCTCACTGCTAGAGAACGGTCAACATAGCACTGCCCTCTTTGGCAAGCATCACTAGCCCCCATCACGAACATCACCTGCCTGCATCACAAGCGTTGCCAGCAAGGCCACTACCCAACATAACCACTTTGGGGGCCAACGTTGTATCGGAAATGATCCCCCACACACCACGATTTGTCCAGTCTTCGAATGGCTTGGGTCCCCCCAAAGAAAAGGAGCACACCCAAATGGAAAAGGAGCAATTTCTGCGAGCAGTCGGTGTCCTTCAAAAAGGCAAACATCAGGCCCCCCGTGCCCTTCCAGTCTTCATAGGCAAGACTCGGCCATTCTGGCGGCACAGGCCGTTGATGCCGCCGATCCTTGGAGCTTAAAGCTGCGTTTCCTTTCGTCGGGGTTCCGGTAGGATACATTCAAAGGCGCCTGCTTTTCTAGAACCACCTGATTTTCTCTCAGGGGATCCTCCAAATCCCAGGATACCTCCATTGGCTTGAGTCCCCGGGCAAAAAAATAAAAATAAATCCAATAGTGCTGGATTCCCTGCTCAAACCAAACAGCAGGAAGTACACATATTCTTTAGCGCGTGGAAACAAGTACCAACCATTCTTCGGGGCTCAAACCTTTCAGAGAGAGGACCCCGGGACCCCCCCAAAAAAAAACGAGGCTCCGGTTCAACCCCTCCCACAAATTTCCATGGGTTCCCTTTAAGGTCCGGGCTTCTTCTGCTGCATGAGCCTCGCCAGGCGGTTCACCCGCCTCCTCAGCGCGACTTTCCGGAGGTTTCCCAGTGGACCCGTGGGGCTTCGAGGCTTCGAGGCCCCGGGACCCCCCGCTTCTCTGCCGGGACCCGCCGGGGATTTCTGGAGATTTGGGTTACCCAAAATGGGGGGCGACCCAGTGGGCGAAGAGAAACGTGAAGAAAACTAAGGTTCTGGGACTAAATGAGGTTTCAATGTGGCATGGGTGATATAAATGCCCGAGTCGCGAAAGAAGACATGGATGCGTCTTGTTTTTGTGCCGTTCTTGGCACTTGGTTTTGTTTACGAAGACAAAAGGAAAACTGAAATCCATTTTTGGGGTAGCCCCTTATACACTCCGCAGAAACCAACGGGCGCTCAAAGGGAAGTTCAAAAGGAGACTCCTGGGCTCCTTCTGTTCATCTAATCAACAAAGAGCAAAAGAGCAACCAAAGAAGCCAAATGGCCGCAGCACAGCTGGTGGGTCTTCAGAACACAGAACTGCCCCATTGTAGAATCCAGGGGGTTTAAAAGAAAGTCACTGCCGGGTCAAGCAAATACTTTGAGCGGCGCTCGAAATATCATTGGAGGGTGGTTCCCTTTGAATACCATTTGTCGGTAGACCTTGATTTTGGGAGGAGGTCTCAGTTCAATTGAGCCATCGGACCTTCCCCTCGCTCTGGGCGGACCCACCACTTGACGCGGCACTCGCACTCCACATTCAGGAAAGGCTGTTCCCGTCCCTCGTGGCAAATGCGAAGCATCACACGCGTCGAAACCTGCGAAGATCCGAAAGAAGTATTTATACCAACAACCATAGGGCGGTGTCTTTTCGGAGGTCCCCCTAGAAAAAGACGCACCCAAATGACCGAACAATGTTCATTGGACACATACCCAAGAAGTGATGGCTCCAGCCCAGTACTTGTCCGAAAGTTGAACCTGCTGCCTCCACCCATGGAACCAGCTTCCTGCAAAAGAGGTAAAACACTCATGACCTTTCAAACGGCCAAGGTCAAACGCGCGCCACCGATTTGTCAGACTCTAAGCCACAGGCTGCCCACATTTGCTTGCCATCGATCTGACGTGCGGTTGTTTCCGACTCTTGGAAAGGGCCCAACAATGAGCCAAGGGTCTTCCAATCTCTTGCATCAGCTGTGGGCAGGCACCGCTCTCCAGCACTTTGTCACAAGACAAGCGAGGCGGACTTCGAGCTGGAACTCTCGGAATGGACAACCTCAGCATGGGTTGCAAAAGTACTGCATGCCTTCGCTCAGATCAGTACAACCTTCTGGGTCTGTCTTTGCTCCCCCCAAATTGCCCCGGAAGATGGGAAAATGTGGTTGCATGCGCACCTTTGAAGCGGTCAGATCGGAAACAGGCGCTAGCGGAATTTCTGCGAAACCTGACGTGGTTCGCAATTGACTGGGGACCCTTTGGGCATCATTTGAGGTGGGGCTTATGTCCACGGACCATCTGTTAAGGCTATTCCGTGTTACGATTCATGGCCACATGAGCGAACAAGGGGGCTTGTCAGCTTGAAGATCAGGTCATCTGCGCGTTCTTCCAGGGAAAACTCTCACAATATTGATCACGAATTCATCCCCTCTCCAAAAAATGCAGCGGGCAGCCCCCCTCAACCAAAACCCAGAGGTTCATGGATTCAGGACAGAACGACCCTGCTGCTGATCCCTGCTGTGTTTTCTCAACATCTGCATGGGTACGTGTCCAAATACAGGGACCCCGAAAATGTGGTTTTCGTGATGGTGTCCCTTTTTAGTCATGGTTTCCCATTAAGCACCACACCAAAAAGGGCAGCACCCGCTTGCAGCAAGCGCGCGCGCACCAATGGGTTGCCCCTTCGCCTTTCCGCGGTACCAACCCTTCAACCCTTCAACCCTTCAACTCTTCAACCCTTCAACCCTTCAACCCTTCAACCCTCCAACCTATCGTACTAAGTCACAACTTTTCAGGCAACACCAAGACACCACCGGACACACTGCAGCACCAGAACGCAACACACCGGGGCACAGCGGAACAGCTCCGGCACACCGCCAGAACGGCACCGGACCGACCAACGGACACCCAGTGAGACACCACCCGGAACGTGGGAAGCGGCACGCCGCCAGCACACCACCCAGCTGCAACAGCAACTGGACTGTTCGGAAACGCAACTGGCACAGCACGACATCATTGGGCCAGCTGCGCAAGTCAGGATCGACCAGACCGGCCAGACCGTGACACGGGATGCAGCTGCCAAACACCAGCAATGCCACACGAAGACACCGACCGCACCAGCGGAACACGATTGGAAAGCTGGGATATAGCACCGGAACACAACACCGGAACGGGCAAAGGGACACCAGCGAGCCACCGAGACGCATCCCCGGGCACACCACCGGGATACTGCGACACCGCCCTGCTTCGAATCTTGGCATTCTCAGTTCGATGCCAATTATTTACAAACTACGAGAAGCATGAATGACGAAAGGGGAAAAATAAACAACGAAGCTAACAATATGCTCCTGAAGCCCACAAACACGGACAAACGCAACACAGCGACACACGTCTCGCCTTGAAAACCTAAAACCACCTGCCAAAACCAAGCTAAACCATGCTAAACCAATGCAATTCCAAGGGCCAAGCCCACCTTGCCACAGGTGAAGCGCCGGATCTCCGTGACGTTGAGGTCCTTTGGGACCAGAACCTGCGACAGATTCGATTTGGATTCGGGTTGTGGAACCCAGAAAAGTGTTGTTTTCAGTGTTCCTTTTTCGTTTCCCTGTTAACCCACCCCAAAGCGGGTTCCCGCAAGTCAAGTACAGGCTTCCATGGTATGATTGTACACTTGAACCCAACCATAAGCCATGTCCTCAATATTTAAGGGACGGGAGGGCTTTCTCAAAGTGGACTTTTGTGTGCTGGTGTTCAAGGGTTTGGAGGGAAATCAAACAGGCTTCCCTCGGAATCATGGACCATGATTTTGACCATGCCTGATTTGTGCAAAATGGTTTCCACCACCCCCAAAACCACTACCCGCACGGGTATAACGGGATATACAACCACTACATAGCCATTGCGCAAACCTATGTTGTCCTGGGTGGTGGTGGTTTGGGGATAGCGGCAACAAAGACCGACCAAAAGCGTGTTCCTAAACAATAATGTCGGGGCTCTTTCATGTTTCGGGCACCGCATCGCATCATAGAACTACCGTCGGGTGGGTTTTGGCAACACATCCGAGGACAACTGACAGTGCCTTCTCGGAAAGCTATGCTTCCTTTCGCATCTCAATCATCACCAAAATCCCCTCCAGTTGGTTGGCGTCCCTCCCGTCAACCCCAAAACGGTTGCGTTCCCCTCTCGAGATACGCTGTAAGCCGGACTAATTAGAAGGGAGCCGAGGTCGCCTCTGAGTCTCTCAAACAGGTTCTTCATACGTCCCTGCCTTACCAAAACAGAACAAACATGTTCTTGGCACTGGAGGGTTTTGAGCGTTGCTCCGCTTTGCGCTGGGGATTGTGGGCTAGCTACCTTGATGACCACATGATGCCTGCCTTAACGTGCTTAAGCCTGCTTTCGGTGGCTTTGGAGTTGTGCAGGCTGGCCTGTCATCCACACTCGGAATACGGTCCAGACTCTTCCCAAAGGAACGAGCAAGATGCCCTCCCTTTCTCTACGTGTACATGGGAACATCAAATGATGGTTTTCCAGTTGAGTTCCTTAAAACAAGCCTGAAAAGCGTACCCATGCTAGTTGCTACCCTCAAAAATAAACAGACGCACACACACACAGACACACACACACACACACAACTTCAATACGTCGAAGGTCGCAAGCTGCGCCCAAATAAGGCCATCGGGAGGCTTCTCTCTCTTCTCCTGGCAGGGGAAGAACGATAGCATCGGAAACATAGGTACATGATGTGTTTGTCGCGAGAATCCTTCTTAGCCACTTGGGGTTGCACAATTTTGACACACACCTAATTACAATACATCCCCCGAATATTTGCCACCTTGCAAGCCAAACTGATAAGACCCGCTCGTGTTTTGCCTTTGTTTAACTTCTCTTTTCCAGCCTTGTTCTTTGGTGAAGTCACCTCGCCCTTGCCAGTGACGCCCTCGACCGCAACTGCGACATTGGCGGCGGCATCCGAATCTGCTGCATCTGCGTCTGCGGCATCTGCGGCACTCGTGTCGGTGGCATCGGCCGCCTCCACAGCTTCGTCCGCGCTATCGGCAGCTGTGTCGGCAGCATCGGCATCAGCTTTGGGCCTCGTGTGACTCGGCATTTCATCGTTGTGGAACAAAGACCTTTCTCTGATACCGAAGCGGACAAATCCATTTGTCCATGTTGTCACTTAAGACATATGCTTGGTAATGAAGCATGCGAATCCAGGTGTTTGGAAGGTTACTGCAAACGCAAAAATGCATTGCAGGCCATGGACTTCACAAGCGGTGCAAGGCGGAAAGCAACAAACATGGTAAACTCAATTTGCAGGTCTGTACTTGTCAGTCGCCAAACGTGAACAGGTCATTGCCCAGTCCTGGTGTGGTGATGATGGTGCGAAGATGACAACTGCGGGGGGATCTAGGCTGTTTAAAATTCATGACCAAACTCTACACGTGTGTGTATTTTTGTCTACCAGAGCTGTGGTGGGGGGACAGAACCATTGTCTGCACCTGATCTATTCTGGTAACCCAGTGCGAGCTCCATGCAGTAAGGGCAGATTTTGGTTGGTGATAGCTTCGGCTTGGCAAGCAAATCGGCTTTGGAGCGGCATTTATTGGACCCTCAAACACTCGTATTGTTTTGCACTCTAGGGACTTCCGCGGGGTTCAACCTCAAACAACTCGTTGGTTTTTGTTTCAGCTTGCGCAAGCATCAAACGGTGAACTCTCCGCTGTTGGTGGGTGGGTTGACCCGCAACAGCTCGTGTGATTTGGATTTGTTTGACTTCACTGGTGGAACGCTCTAGCGAACTAACCGTATAAGAGGCCAGCTGGGAGAAAATAGATAGAAAAAACAGATAGAGAGAGAGAGAGAGGAAGGTAGGATACATAGACACATAGATAGATAGATAGATAGATAGATAGATAGATAGATAGATAGATAGATAGATAGGTAACAAGATAGAAGGATATAAGAGCAAAAATAGATAGACATGTCATTGGGTAGGCAGGCGCAAAGACAGGTACGTCGCAAGATTGTCAAGTCAAGTTCGTTTGTTCGAGTGGGTGGGCTTGGCAGTGGGTGGGCTTGGCAGTGCGTTTTTCTGCGGCTGGCTGGGGGATATGCTAAAATCTAGCTGGCTGCTTCAAGGCGCCAAGATGAGAAGGGTCTCCAAAAGAGAAAAGAGGAAGAGAGAAAAGGAAACAGAGGACAAGAAAACTGAAAAGAGAAAGGAGAAACAACATGGGGACGAGCAAGAGACAAAAGAGACAAAAGCGCGCTCCAAGCTCTCCTTTGAAGCTTCCGCAACCCGGCTCTGCAGGACGCTACTGGCATTGCCACATTATGTTTTGTATTTAGGTACCACCTGAAATATACATTAGCTTTTTTGAGACTCCTGGTATACTGATAGCATAATGCCTAGCATCTAATCAAGGCACCAAGTCAAGAAAAACATGGAGGTGTGCGGTGGTGTGACGCGTGCTCGCCAACAACCAACAGCTGTCGTTCTAAGCCCGCGACTTCTCATCAGCTTCCGCCTGCAAGATGGGTGTCCGAGGTCACAGCATCAAAACAGATCACCTGTAGGGGATCGAGAAGTGCTTTTGAGGGACCCTTTTTGGTTGGCGTTACAAAGGGGTTTGTTTGTTGACTGCCTTGTTGGTTTGTTTGTTGGTTGGTTGGCTGGCTGGTTGCTTGCTTGCTTGCTTGGTGAGTCAGTTGGTTGTTTGCTTGGTTGGTTGGTTGGTTGGTTGGCTGCCTTGTTGGTTAGCTGGTTGGCTGGTTGGCTGGCTGGCTGGTTGGCTGATTGGCTGGCTGGACGATTGTTTGGTTGCCTTGTTGGTCTGATTGTTGGTTGGTTGGTTGCGTTGTTGGGATGATTGTTGGTCGGCTGGGTGTTGGCTGGCTGGCCGGCCGGCGGGCCGGCTGTTGGATTGATTGTTGGTTGGTTGGTTGTTGGCTGGTTGGCTGGCTGGCTGGCTGGCTGGCTGGCTGGATGATTGGTTGGCGCAGCAGCACGAGCAGCAGCAGCAGCAGCACCAGCAGCAGCAGCAGCAGCAGCAGCAGCAGCAGCAGCAGCAGCAGCAGCAAAGGCAAAAGTTTAAGCAACAGCAAAACAACAAAAAGAGCGGCTGTGGCAGCAGCAGCAGCAGCAGCAGCAGCGGCGACGGCAGCAGCAAAGGCAAAAGTTTAAGCAACAGCAAAACAACAAAAAGAGCGGCTGTGGCAGCAGCAAAGGCAACAGCAACAGCAACAGCAAGAGGAGCAGCACAGACAGGAAACACCATGCCACACTGGAGCTACAGTGCGCATTGAGCGAATCAATCCTCATGGACCATGGAATCGCGACACATTTAACGAATGCAACCTCAACTGAAGCATCAAAAGACTTACCCAAGACTTGTGTCGCAAGAAAACGAGACATCCAAAGACAGCCCAGCTGACTGTGACAAGCCCTGGAAACAGCCAAAGCAATGACCCTAGTTCAAGAAGTGCAAAAGCAAAGACTGCCCTTCTCAGAAGGGGCGCTAACGGGTCTCCAAACCGTTCTCAGATCCCAAGTTTGCTTGCTCCCTGGCTGCGACCTCTGACTCGCTCATCCTGCGCGAGCGAAAACTGCAGGAGCACGAAAACGCGTCATTGTGTTGAACAAATGTCAACCCGTAACCTGCCACCCAAACTTGCCAGTACCCCTCAATACCCCCCCCCCCCCCCGCCCGCAACAAAACAACAACAACCCCTAACTTGTTGGCTGTTGCCCCCACCGCAAAAGGTTTAACATGTTGTTGGTTAGTTGTGGAGCACACCATGTGCCAAAGATTTCAAGGTTGGATATTCAATCAAATCGCAGCCAAGCAGAAACGATCGGCTCCTGCATCGCTGAGAGACGAGATCTCAAGGAGCCCACCCTGCCAAGCCTAAAAGCCTGTGGGTTGTGTCTTGCTTGGAGTTGCTTCCCTTGGGGTAAGGACCACTAGTTGGTCGTTCACCTCTGTTGAGTTGGGTTGTGCAGTAGATGCTGGGGTCAGCATTTTTGAAACAGATTTGCCCCGCCACTCTATACCCGTAGATTGCAAGAGGGGGTGCAACGGCACCTGAGAGCAAGGCCGACGGCGGCCGTGCAATGGCCAAGGAGATGCGAAAAAGACACCCTTGGATGGACAAAATCCGATGCACCCCAGTGGTGTGTCAACCTGTAGTCAGAGGGTTTTGTCCATCTTGACTGGTGCGAAATGGATTACTTAACTGGTGCAAATTGGAATTCGCTCATCCACTGCGCAAGCTGTTTTCTGTAAGACACAAACTGCAGAATAGTCCTTTGAGGCTACGATTTGATACACCAAGAAAGCGATTCCTTTGGTTCTCATCCTCTGACCTGCGGGTTGCCTCAACAGGGCGTGTCGCTTGAGGGTGCCATCTTTGGGGCTTGGGAAACAAAAGACAAACAGCCATTTTAGGAGTTGCACCATTTTAGGATACGCCAATGTTGCTGCGCATGCTAGCAAAAGTTGGACTCCTTATGCTGCTGATGCGTGGAGTCATCTTGCTTTCCCTTCACCGACCAAATGGGAGTGACTTTCTTTGAGGGTACCCATATGTTTGTGGTTTTAAACCTAAATACCAGTTTTTGGGTGGGGGGATACCCTCAAAAAGATACACCCAGATGTTGAAAACATGACGCCTTGAGCATCTTGTTGTCTTTTTTCCGACTCTGGCTCGCGAGCGTCGCCTGTGAAAAGCCAGCTAAACTGGGATGCGAGGGACGGGAAACAGTGAAAGGCAGTCTCACGTGGAAACATCCTCTGGGTTGCTCGCGGACCCTTGACCAAAAGGTCTAAGCTTTTGTTGGTTTAGTGGGCAAGCCATGTTTTTTAAAAGCCGATTTCTGGACTGCGATTTACTCACCCTCAGAAAACCATTCTGGTGTTGAACATACGTGGTTTCCAATCGGTGCTTTTGAACCCTCCGTCTTTACCGGCGGTTTCCCTGGTGGGTGAAGGGTGAGAAACCGGATCGGGTTCAGTTTCCAAGTCCGAGAGCGCCTGGGGCTGTGAATTTTACTTGGGGACCCGAAAATGGAGGGCATCATATCGGTGGGGATTTCTGTCCACCCTCCACTGTTGAGGTTCCCTATTAAAATTCCACAGATTCCGCACACCGTTTCAGAGGCCGCAGAAGTTGTCGCCTCGAGCAGGATTTGTCGATTTGTCTCATGAGAACCCCAGAAATGGGTGGCGTTCTGTTGGTTCCTTCGAAACAACCCCAAAAAAGTATCAAACACAACAACATTGGACACGGCCACTGTTGTCGACGCAGTGAGGCGGAGGCTGAGTTCGTGGCCGAATCTTTGGGCAGCAAACTTTGCGTCTGAGCGAGCGAGGGTTCGACCCAATAACTGGGGGTCTCTCTTAAAATCGGGGAATCACCTTTGGGAAGAAGAGAACAAGCCTTCTTTTTCTCTTGAGAGCGTGCATATCATATTGTGAGACAAAATGAGGAAACGCCAAATGTGGACTTGAGTGTCCATGAGCTTCAGATTCATTCGGACCGCAGCTGTAAGTTTTAGATTCCTCTAGGGTCCTTCAAATTCATCGAAGCTATCGTGACCAACCTCAAGTGACACAGTCTTGGCGGGCCTTCTCAATACTTTGAGGACCACTTTTCACCCTAGGCCAAAAGGAGACCACCGTCTCCAAATACCCTGCCAGCGCCTGGCACGGAGGGTTTTTTGGGGGATTAAAGTAGGACCCCCTAGCTGTTACATGCACACCCCATTGTCACAGAACCAGTGTTTTTTTTTGCTTCCTCCCAAGATCAAAAGGGCTTGCTTCCTCCCAAGATCAAAAGGGCCTTGGGTTGGCCGCGAGCGCCTGCCTCTGAGCTCACCAGACAGGGGCCCTTTTGGGACTCCCATGAGGTCCACTTGAGCCGGGCAACTCCGCCAAGGCCCAACTGAAGCCGCAAATAAGCAAGCAGACGAGGATAGCATTGTGACTCTCGGTTTGAAAATGACCCGCCCCCCTAATCCACCCACTGCCCCCCTCACCCCGGGATTTGCATGACCGGCGGATGCCCCACAAACCAGTAAGTTGAAGTGGGGCGGGTTTTGGAGGCTGCTTTCATGTGCCAAAGGGGCCAAAAGCATTTGGTGTTGAATTTGGACAGTTTGCCTTTTGTGGAGTCTGTTTGTTGCTGCATTGTGGGATTGAATCTGGGGAACCTGCGGCACAAGGGCAGGGTCCGGGTTACTCTAGTGCAGCGGTGCACGAAGAGCTCCACTCGTACTATGGACCAAACAGCTCAAGCCATACATGCCAGCAAACGGTGGTGTATTGCAGTGGTGTCCCACTGTGAGTTGCTACTCGCGTTTCGTGCCAAGAGCCGATCGATCGTCTCTGTGTGTGTGTGTGTGCGTGTGGTGTTGGTCTTGTGCGCGTGTCTGATGTGTTGTGTTTGTGCTGTTTCTGTGTGCATGTTTCTCAGTATTTGAGTGTGTGTGTGTGTGTTTGTATGTGTGTGTGTGTGCGTTCTTCATGTTTATACTTGTATATATATATATATGTGTTGTGTGTTGTGTGTTGTGTTTGTTGTGTGTTGTGTGCTTGTTTTATGTTGTGTTGTGTTGTGTTGTGTTGTGTTGTGTTGTGTTGTGTTGTGTTGTGTTGTGTTGGGTTGTGTGTGTGTGTGTGTGTGCGTGTGTGTGTGTGTGTGTGTGTGTGTGTGTGTGTGTGTGTGTGTGTGTGTGTGTGTGTGTGTGTGTGTGTGTGTGTGTGTGTGTGTGTGTGTGTGTGTGTGTGTGTGTGTGTGTGTGTGTGTGTGTGTGTGTGTGTGTGTGTGTGTGTGTGTGTGTGTGTGTGTGTGTGTGTGTGTGTGTGTGTGTGTGTGTGTGTGTGTGTGTGTGTGTGTGTGTGTGTGTGTGTGTGTGTGTGTGTGTGTGTTTGTGTTTGTGTTTGTGTTTGTGTTTGTGCTTGTGTTTGTGTTTGTGTTTGTGTTTGTGTTTGTGTTTGTGTTTGTGTTTGTGTTTGTGTTTGTGTGCTTGTGTGTGTGCGTGTGTGCGTGTGTGCGTGTGTGCGTGGGTGTGGGTGTGTGTGTGTGTATGTGTGTATGTGTGTATGTGTATGTGTATGTGTATGTGTGTATGTGTATTTGTGTCTGTGTCTGTGTCTGTGTCTGTGTGTCTGTGTGTTTGTATGTATATTGCGCATGTGTGTTTGTCTGTATTTGTGTGCTTGTTCGTGTTGTTTGGTGTGTGTATTTGTGCGGGTGTGTGTATGTATGTTTATGTGTCTGTGTATGTGTGTATGTGTATGTGTATGTGTGTATGTGTATGTGTATGTGTCTGTGTATGTGTACGTGTATGTGTCTGTGTCTATGTCTGTGTCTGTGTGTGTGTGCATGTGCGTGTTTGCGTGTTTACACAGTTGTGTGTGTGTGTGTTTGTGTGTGTGCGTTTGTGTTTGTGTGTGTGTGTGTTTGTGTATTTGTCTGTTTGTTTGTGTGTGTGTGCGTTGTGTGTGTGTGTGTGTCAAACAAGGGGACCCAATAGGAGGGTGCCCGCAACTAAGCCCAACCCTAGCCCAACCCTCGCAACCCCAGCCTGCCACAGCCGCTCCCAATTACTCCGCTTTCTGCGGAAAAGCAGAAACCCACGTAAGCAGCCCACGCCTGGAGGTTGTCCCCTAAGAATTTCATGGCCTTGGCCAAACCGGAGGCTGGAGAAAAGCCACGAAGATGTCCGATGGGTTGGGAAACCAGCCCGGATTTGAGCCTTGCGTAGCTGGTTGGAACGCAGGTGCCCTGGCCTGGGGGGGGGGGGAGGATGAACGCATTCGCAAGGGCTTAGAAGGGCCGAAGGGGGAGCCTTCTAATGCGCAAGCGCCAACCCATGTTCTGCTTCGGCTGGCTGGGCAAAGTGCGTCGTCGTCCTGATTCCTTTTCGTGCCCTGCAATCCAGCTAGATGCTTTGCATGATGCATCTGCATAGAAGTTCAATGCAGTTTAAACCGTTCTGGGGCGCAAGGACGTGGGATAAACACACATGTTGTTTCGTCATGGACGCTTCAATCCAGTGAGCACCAAACATGAAGGCCAGTGTTCCCTCCGTCGGTTGTTTATGCAGGGTCAAACCAGTAGTGATTCAACAGCATCCTTTTTGTCTTGCTTTCAACAAAAAAAGGGGGGATTGTTTTGCTTAAACCCATTTTTGCCGAGGCCCAGAAACCCACTACTAGGTGGCCACAGGGCTGCCAGGCGACTGCATTCTTAGGACACTTGAGCGCATGGGCAGTTTCTGAAATCGCTTGCTTCCTTGTTGGCCCAAAGGCAGCGGCAGTTTTGATCTTTGTTGGCTGGATGCGGAAGTGAGACTCGCTCTGACATTTGTTCTGCTGTTGAAGATTGCCAGGCACCCGCCCCAGGCGCTGCCTATAGAGCTATAAGTATGTTCATGGACGGCGATATCTTGTATTTAGACAGCATGCGCTCACCTCTAGCTGCTGCCAGTGAGCAGATGAGAGGGCCGAGGCATCAGAACAAAGAGAGAACGCGAAAGAACTGCACTGCAAGGTAAATAAATTCTTGCCGCGCAAAGGCGGAACTCAGTGTCTTGATGCCGAATGGAAAAATTGAAAGGCTTGGTTCCAAAGCAGATTCG